AGTTGATCCAAGAATGAAGTCCTTGACAACTTCAATCTTTTCTCCGTTGATAAGAATGTTGTTTATTGGTCCAGTGGTGAGGATTTTTGTTTTCTTGATATTGAGATGCAATCCATACCGAAGGCTGTGCTCTCTGATCTTCATCAGTAAATGTCTTAAGTCCTCTTACAAACTAGAAAATTGTATGGGGGATGTTCTACTCTGTCACATGGAGTTGCTATGAGTGGAATTCAACTTGTGGGCTTCTAACACAAACAACATTCCTGTATATAGATGTAAGAATTTAATTTGCAAATGCCTTTCAGCTATACCATAAATTATAATAATAACCAATGTTTGCTAAAAATTTACCAGGTACCATACTAAGTGCTTCAGGAGCTCTGGTAGTGTAGTGGGTATGTGCTGGGCTGCTAACCACAAGGTGAGCAGTTTGAATCTACCAGCCACTCCTCAGGAGAAAGATGAGACTTTCTGCTCCTGTAAAGATTTATAGCCTCAGAAACCCTATACAGGGTTGCTGTGAGTCAGAACTGACCTGCTGGAACACAATCACCACCCCCACACCATGCTAGATGTTTTACAAGCATTATCTCATTCAATCCTCGTGAGACAACTAGAAGGTAAATAATGTTATGTCCATATTGTAAGGGAGGAAGCTAGTGCTTGATTATGAGAATTTATTAATTTTCCCCACAGGCCTTGGTGACAGTTGGCCTGGCCATGCTTTGATCTGGCCACCTCTTAACTGTAAAGTCCCCACAGTTTCAGTAAGTGCTACCCCAGGGAAGCAGATCTGTCCTGTCTTTAAAGAGGTGCCAAAGCTGAGCAGATTCTGCATTGTCCTCTCTGGGTTCTTGGTTTGGGCAATTAGGGAGTTGGTTAGAGGGGAATTTGGACAACCGAATTAGAAGAGATTCTGTCCTGAGCAAGTGCAAAATGCAGATGATTGGTGTGGGTTCAGATCTTGGGAGTGGAGTAGGGGGTTGTTGTGAAGGAAATCAAAGTGCCTGGAGTGGTAACAGGACTGAAAAATGAAGGTTGGCCTGGAGGTTCTGGATTCAGAATTTGAATCCCACTTACTAGGTCACAGAATCCCGGGTCCGTGCCAAGCACAAGGTCTGCACAGACTCTTCTCCATTCCCATATCCCTGTCCCCTGATCTCAGGTCACTGGGCACCACTGTACTTGAAGAGCACTCGGTTAATTTTGCTTTGTGATGAGAACAATTAGTTTTTTCCTTTATCTTCCTTTCAACATTTCCTAGATCACTTGTGATTGTGTGTTAGGGTGGGTGGGTGTCCCTCTCCTCTGTGGGTTGTTGTATTCCCTTCACTCAATTTCTACGGGAGAACAATCCATAGAGCTTTCATGACTGTTGTATCTATGGAAGCAGACTGCCACAGTTCTTTCCCCCAGGGTGGCTGGTGGGTTCGAAATACTGGCCTTTTGGTTAGTAGCCAACCTCTGACTGTTGTACCTCCAGGACCTGTATCTCTGTGGGTGGGCTCTGGTTTACAGATCTGGGTCCTAGATCCTTGGTTGAGCTTTATATCTTCCTCTTTTTTTCTTTTTCCCAGTATTATTTATAATAGAATCTTTTTCCCACTTGATAAAAGAAACAGTTACAATTTCTCTCATGAGACTGAGAAATTGTTGGAATGTTTTTTCTTTTCCTATTTGTTTTTGTTTTCTATGGAAAATGGAAACTGCTCTATTTTCAAACTGATGTAAGTGATCTGAGAGGCTGCATAGAAAGCTGGGCCTACTAGGTTGATTTTGCCAGGCTGAGGGAAGATTTCTAGCTCATACTGTTTCATTGTTTTCTGTTTCTCCTTCTTTCTGCTGGAGGCTGGCATCCTGATTCTGGGAGCCCTCCATCCCAACATTCATATTCTGTTGGAGGCCACTCCCTCCTCAAGGCTCTCAGGATGGTTTTGTTGCACACGACACTGGGGAGATTGGACTGGGAGATTATGCAAATTAAAACTGACTTTAGATACATGTTGTTGTTAAGTGCTGTCGAGTCGGTTCTGACCAAAGCGACCCTGTATAGGGTTTCCGAGGAGCAACTGGTAAGCTTGAACCGCCAACCTTGCAATTCAAACGGCTTTGCAGTCTGGTGCATTAACCCACAGCGCCACATTGTGTTAAGTGCCGTCAAGTCGGTTCCGACCCATAGCGACCCTGTATAGGGTTTCCGAGGAGCAATTGGTGAGCTTGAACCACCAGTTGCTCCTTAGAAACCCTATACAGGGTTGCTATGGGTTATAATCAACTTAGATACCTGGTATGCATGGATTTTTTAAAAAAAATCTTTATATTTTCATATGGCCATGACGAAATTCCAACAACTAGCCCTATTTCTAATTTGCACTAAGACCTAGCATAGTTATGATACCAAATGCAAAATCCACTGCCATTGGGTGGATTCTGACTCATGACAACCCTGAATAGGGTTTCAGAGGCTATAAGTCTTTACAAGATTTACAGTCTCTGTGGAGCAGCTGCTGACTTTGAAACGCTGGCCTTGCAGTTAGCAGACCAATTCCTAACCCACAGTGCCACCAGAGCTCTGTCAGAATGGGAAAAGCATCACTGTATTAGTTTATCTTGAGAAAGGGTGAATGAGATTAGAGCTGGTGGAATGGGAGGAGGGAAGGAAATCCATGTGAGGAGGAAGAGAACTTTCAGAGAGGAACGGCACACAGAAGAGAAGAGAGAGGAGGGGGCTAGTCAGAGCAAGAGGCCAGGGGGAAGGCAAAGAGAAGCCATGAGCAAAAGAGAATAGAAAACATAAATGCATCTCTCTGCTCAGTAGACAGAAGAAAGGCAACAGCAGCATCATACAGATTGTTCTTTGTGTGTGGATTAATGAAAAGTTGGTTTGAAGCACAAGGTCAGCAGTTCAAGTTCACTAGTCACTCCTTGAAAAAAGCCTATGCAGGGTCGCTGTGGGTTGGAACCGACTGGACTGCATTTAACAACAACATTAGAAAAACAAACAACTGAAAAGGAGCACAGGGAAATCCTTATTGTATTTCTAAAACTCACTAAGACCCATAAAATTGAAGAGCTTCAGCAATTATTTGTAAGAACTTAAAATTTCTAGCTTCTTTGCTTATCCGTTCAACCAGTTACAGCCTAGTTTTTGACTATATCTTCCTTTCAGAATTTCCAGAGACCTGGTGATAGAAAACCCATGTGTGTCAAAGTACAACTGTACTCCACTGGGTTTTCGCTGGCTGATTTGTTAGAGTTAGATCACCAGACCTTTCTTCCAAGAAACTGCTGAATGGATTCAAACCTCCAGCCTTTCAGTTAGCAGTTGAGTGCTTTACCTGTTTGCACCCCCAGGACTCCATGACACACACAGTGTGTGCTTATTCTGTTGCTACAGTTGTTTAAGACACAGCTCCTCTCCTCAGGGCCTCTGTGTGAGGGGGTGTGTTTACCTGCATCCCAGTCCCTCGGGAACATCTGTACTGGCTCAGTGGACTTCTTTCTCTAGCTTTCCTTTTCTCCAAGGACAGTCCGTACTAGTGTCTAGCACCTGTGTCTAAGACAGGGATGGTCATGAGGATAAGAATAGATCCAAGAGTCAGCCCCAGGCCTGGAGTTGACCTTCTGGTTAGTAGGGAGAAG